TACAGTCGAACCTCGCTTAAGTTAACACATGGTTTTTCCCGAAAAAAAGTTAACTTAAGGCGAGGAAGTTAACTTAAAATTCAGGGGACCACAACTCACCATCCCCGGGGCCAATAGAGGCGGTGAATACCTCAATAGACGCGCATTGGGCTCCACTACGTGTTTGACGAGAGAGGAGACTGAAAAAAGTGAGAGGGAGCATATTTTTATGTCCATTTTACTAAACAACACTATAACCAAGATGCTATGTTGGAACGCTTGAACCCACGCACACATTTCTCGTCGATCGCAATGTACAGCCACTCCTGTGTAGTAGTCTCATGCGGTCCCACGCATTCAAGACATACATAGGCCACCCCAAACACAGCTCTGGTCGTTTGTACCGCACACTCTACGACCTCCACATGTCGCGCAGAGTTGCCTGCAGCTCCCCCCCCTCCTTGGCTCGCCGCTTCACTTGAGTTTCGTGAGTGAACGAATGCACAACTTTCGAGAGCAGGTACTGGGTCTCGCGGTACTCCCCATCCTTTCCGTTCGCGTACAAGTAGGAGCAAACCTTCTCTAGGCTACCGCGAACTTCGGCCTCTGTCATCGAAGATGTTACGCACGACTCTGGTCTACCCCCACCATCTTCATCGTCCGTGGAGTCCGGTACCGTGCATGTAGGCTCCTCGCATCGTTTTTTGCCAGGCGCAGACGATGCACCGCTGGATGGAAGGAATCTCTCCATACCCACAGACAGCAGGTGCAGCAGCAGACCTCTTATTGGCGGTCTACAGAGCAGTGAGAGCACTGCTGCTGCTGCTGGTTTTGAGGGGGTCCGTGGACTGTATTTTTACCCCCCCTGTATGCAATACTTTCTGCGGGGCACCATGTTTCCGAAAAAAATTGTTAACTTTACTGGGGGAGTTAACTTAATTTTCGTTAACTTAAGCGAGGTTCGACTGTATTCTAATTTACGTTCTATTCTTTCTTCTGATGCGTGCGCTTTTGCTTTATTTCCTTTTAGAGCTAATATAGGTGAAGCACTTTGGGTATCTAAATATGGGTATTTGTGTAAGGTACGGTTTTAAATAAAGTGCCTCTTTCTTGGAAAAAATAATTTTACCTTTAGCAAAATTCGAAGATAAAGTGAATTTTTCGTGTTTTAAAACCGAATTCAATAAAATGATTTTATTATAAATTCAAGAGTATAACAATAGAAAAAATTATGGATAGATTTAATAAAAATATTGTCAAAACTTTTAATCAAACTTTCAAACCTGTAATGAAATATTTTTATTGGACGACTTTTTATGTTTAAATTATTTTTAAATATAATATTAATCGTTTTATAGGGTCCTATATACTTTTGTTGTCTTAATTTTTTTATTGAATTCAACCGAATGATATAATACTTGAAGATCTTTATTTCAAAACATAATATTTTACGTGTCACCTTTAAAAAAAATACTTAAAATATTTGGAATTTCTCTTTTTTTTGTTATACTTACAACTTTGCTTTTTCCTTTGTGCATTTGAGCTTCATGGTCTTTTGATAAAGGGGTTATTTAAACTTGTTTAATTAATTTTCTAAGCATGGAATTAGTATTACTTTTATAGGCAATTAATCTTTTTTAATCTGTTTGACGTATAGAAACAAAATAAGCAATTTATGGTTATTTTGTTTTAAAAACATAAATCGAACAAGACGGGATTTGAACCCGCGACCATCGAGATAATTCTAATTTAGCGCTACGTACTTTTAAAACAGCTTTATCAAAATCTTCTTTAAGGGGGAACCGCCAATCGATGTTACGGTTCGCAACCGGGGCAGTGTATAGGGAATAGACTGGTCTGGAAACCCCCCTGTTTGTAAAAAACATGACAAAACCTGGTTAGACCGCACTTGTTACGGCGGCCCGCAAGCAGGAGGGCAGCGACGTGCCCAGAACAACAACCGGTGAGACCCAGAGGAAATACGCATGAGATGAGATATATGAAGTGTCACATCGTACAATGCACGACCGAAAGACTTGTCGTCGCCGACCACAGAATCAGCAGCTTTGAAGCGGCGGAATTGCCGGATATACGATTCTCCAGCACACCGCCCCAGCGCGAATAAGGCGTGTAGTGGATGAACTCACGTACTCGCAGAAGTTTAGGAACGTGTCGGCGTCGGTGTTTCCTCACCCTCTGGAAATGAGGACATGATTTCCGCCAAATGGGGTGCTGAGGGGCGGTCAAGCCGATCGGAAAAGCTGTACACACGAGGCGCCGTGCAAAAGGCGACTGATATAGGTAGTCTGTGAACATGCAACGCCCTCCGAAGAGTTTTGGTGCGTTCGGTTGCCAAACCTTCAAAATTTCGGTTTCGGTGTACTGGGACATATAGGCGTTTTTATACGGTGCAAGTACTGTGCATTTTTTTTTGACGCTTCCAAAAGATGGCCCTGACCCATAGCTTTCGTATGAATGTCCCAAAACCGGAGTCTGATCACAAACGACGGAGAAACAGCGTTTTCCATTTAAGCGGAATTCACAGCAGTAAATATGCCTATTAATAGGGATTTAGACTGGAAATTTCCCGGCGTGATTACCGTCGGGACAGATAAGGCAGGACACCACCTGCGTGGGGTCCAGGACGGCTCATCGCCCGCGTTTCGACTTAGTGATGTTACAGGAGGGAAAGGAAAGGGCAGCAGGAAGAGGTCGGCTGCTCTCGCCTGTTTGCCAGACTACACGGCTGCGGGGAGCGACACATCTAAGAATGCGATCGTTCTTGCTGATGTCCGGACGGGAGGGAAAAAAGCTCGGGTGTGTGCAGAGTGCACCGCTGCAGGGGTGGGCTTGCAGTTTTTGGCTGACAAGCAGCATCAGCGAAAGGGGCAGAAAATCTGCCGGAAGGTCCGAGAGGAATGGGCGGCGAAAAA